ATTTTTCTATAATACTTTAGTAACTAAAGTTTGATTGATACAAAAGATTGTCATATATATTGCATCATGAAGAATTGTAGCATTGCTACTTGAAGGAGGAAGAATCATCCATTCTATGTTTAAGATTCTACTAGATTATAATGAAGATTTTTTTTGTTCAATTACTAAGAATTCTGACTATACTGTGTTTATTCGCGAAACTTCCCTTATTATTTGGGATGAACTTCCAATGCAATATTGTTATTATCCTAAGGTAGTTGATTGTTTCTTTAGAGACATTCAAGATATTACTCACCTATTTGGAGGAGCTACAATAGTTTTTGCCAAATATTTCTAGTGATTGTGAAAGGAACTCGAGAAGAAATTGTAGCAGTATCTTTTCGACGTTCAACACTTTGGCCTCAAATAAAAATCACATGAAGTTGAATTCAAGAGCACTCCAAGCAAATATTGTGTTTGCTAATTGGCTTCTTTAGGTACAGAATGCACACATGCATTGTATATATAGATGGTGGTGTATTTGAATTCTTTATAATTGTATTATTATTAGTTAATATTTCTATTTTCTACTTGTCAAATTAAAAACAATACAAACTAACTATCTAATAATGTAGTTAAACTTTTCAATCACATGATTTTTGATCAACAATTAATGTCTTTGGTGGATGTTGTTTATCTAAGGCTGTTAGAAGATGGTACAAATGATGAATTTTTTAGAAATAGAATTATTTTATCCAGATGGAATGATAATATAAAAGATATTAATAAAAAGATTATGGCCATATTTTTTAGAAAAAAATAAGAATATCTAAGCACTGATGAAGTTGTTGTTGAAGATGGTATTGACAACAATAATATTTATCTAGTCAAATTTATTAAGTCGCTTAATCCATCTGGAATACCCAGATCAAGGCTTTGTCTTAGGATTGAGTCTTTAGTGATGCTACTAAGAAATATTGCTCATTACCAAGGACTTTGAAATGGAATCCAATTGATAATTATATGACTAATGGATCAAGTTCTTCAAGCAAGAATCCTTGGAGGGAAATTTTCTAAAAATTTGATGATTATTCCGCAAATTACATTAACTTATACAACAAAAAAACTTCCGTTTATTCTAAAGAAAAAGTAATTTCCAATCCGTGTTGCATTTGCAATAACAATAAACAAATCCCAAGGGCAAACAATTAAGCATGTTAGTTTGGATCTACAAAAACATATTTTTTTCCATGGTCAACTTTATGTAGCATTCTCTTAATGCACTTCCTCTCACTCTATCAAGATTCTTCTTCTTAAAAACAATAATTTAAATTCCATGCTAAATATTATTTTTCAGAATTTTTAATTACATAAATATTAGTAATTTATTTTTTGTATTTTAATTCATTAATTTATTGACTTTAATACATCTTTGAATGTCTTAATATAATTTTATAATTTAATGTTTTATAATTTAATACTTTTTTAATTAATTACTTTTTTTGTATAATATCCGTGACAACAACATGGATTTACCTATCCTAATTCATACCTAAAAGCTTCATTGTATATTTTATTTCTTTCTATTTGTATTATATTATACTTGTATTTGAAAAATATTCTTTGGCTTACAAATATATCTTTAAAAAATAACTTCATTTGAATCATATTTTTTGTGACAACTACATGGGTTCATGTAGTGTATATATATATATATATCACAACTTAGGTATAAGATAAAGAGACAAAGAAGATTTTTCCTTGGCTTAACATAAGAACATGGATGAAGAAGGAAATGGATGGATGGTAGTGCCAAAGATTGCAATTCCCATCAATATAGATTTCTACTAATATATATATAAATAGATATGCATTTGTGACTAAAGACAATCTAATCTTGAAGTAAATTTTTGTAATAGTGGCCATTTCTAATCAAGAGAAGTTATGAAAAGACATGATAAGGGAGTGAATCTAAGGTTATACTTGTAGTTTTGACTTACAAAGGTCTTTGTGTATTTGTTATCTAGTAACTACATGTAGAAAATAATTTTTGCATTAAAGATTATCATAGTGTCATGCAATTACAATTGTACTTGGCATTCTTTTATTTAAATATGCCAATTCCTTTAGCATCCAATAAAATTTATTTCATTATATATAAATATTATATTATATGGAATTTTGAAATCTTATTAAATATAAAATAATTTAATACTATTAATAATTTTAATTAGTATATATGTTTATAAAATAATTTAATACTACTAGTAATTTTAATTAGGATATGTGTTTTATAAAGGATTTAAAATAAGTACTTACTTGTTTTTAAATTTATTTTTTATCCTTTTTTTATAGCTTTGTTAATCTAAATAAAATCATAAATAAAGTTTTATCTTTTATAACCAAGCTACGAAATAACTTTTATTTTTTTAATAACTAATCTTCTTATTTATTTTCAATCTATTTATGTTTCTTAGAACATATGACATAATTTTTAATTTTTAATTCTTACATAATTAATAAATTATTTTTATTTTCTTATTTTCTTATTTTTTAAAAATAATAATAATTTTAGTTTTTAATGATGTGTTTTAAATTAATTGAAATGAAATAAATAAAATCTAAATCTTAAAATTAAGTTTATTTCCATTATTTTTATTTTGTTTAAATTTAAGATAGATTTATTTGAAATCAATTTGTATAATTTATTCAAATAACAATAGTATTGCTTTGAAATTTAATAAATAAATCAAGTATTCTTTAATACTATTTTTTCTACTTAATCAAATAAATAATTTACTACTTTTTATATTTATATATTTATATATTTTTTCAAAAATATATTAACAACTAATCAATGGAATGCAACCAATATGTTAGTATTCATCTGGTTAAGTCACATAACTGCTTGATAAGCTTCCACAAGTATGAAGTGATTACCAACCAATAATGTGGTTACTACAAGTTGCCAACTACCTATTCAACCTAAACTTTCTTTTCTTTCTCACCTCTTGTGTACCATCATATATTTTTATTTATGAGACTATGCAACCATGTAATTACATTTTTATCAACAAGAAAGCTACACCTTGTAATTTGAGTATTCAAGTTCAATAACACCCTCAAATATAATATTACTTACAACTACCTGAATTAGAGCCCGAGGTCTACTTTGACAGGAAAAGACTACTTAAGTCTCACATCAAGGAACACATGTCATCACATGATTGATTGATGCCCATGAACAATTTGTCATGGCAAAACCTTTTGACACCTTAATTCAACTTTGGAAGTGCCCATTGTGGACTAAAATCAAATGGCACAAGTGGCAATAGGTAGTTGGGCCACATTCTTTCAAGAATGTGCCAACTACTTGGTACAATGGGCAGCCTCATGCTTGAGTTGATATACTTGGCCTTTGGTATGTGGAGTTGGTTGTGAGCAGAACCCAGTTGTGGAATTTTGGGGGACACAATGTAACGTCTACACAGAAAGACTTTTTTGCATGTGTTGGGATCTACATAATATATATATATATATATATATATATACATATATTAAATTGAATATTTATTTACTTTTGATTGAAATTGAATATTTATTTACTTTTGATTGAACTGGATGTTGGGTGGGTTGTAAAAATTGACACTAAGAATCCTTGCATGGATGGTGTAAGATTTTGGATTCAAATACTGACACATCTTTTTAGATTTAGAGATTGGTTGATGTTTTGGTTAAATATTGGACGTTGATGCATCTGTGTGGTAGATTATGTCTTCACCTGCAATATACAATTGAACTTGGAAACATCACAAAGTTATATTTTAGTTTATACTTATAATAAATTTGGTTCATTCTGTTTGTTTTTATATTTCCAGTTCAGAAATATATATATATATATATATATATATTATTACAGATCTTGTGTAGTTTTTTTAAATGCATACACCTATTAAAATTAAAAAAATGCAATCTTCTACTTGGAGGTAACGTAAAATTGAATTCTCATCTGCAATAAACTATTCTTAGTCACATAATTTAGTGTAAATTTTACAGTTATATCAGTTCCTCTCAATTTCATTTGCTAACTGGTCAACGTTGACTTGATGTAGATTCTTCAAAAATCGCACACTTCAAATAACAGATGATTGATCATTTTGTTTACTTTTATTTTTGTTAATTTTTGATACTAAGCTCGTTCTTCAGTTCAGAAGAACAGAACATCTCAAAACTTTCTCTATTCAACATTTACAGAAACTCTAGCTTATTATATAAACCTGTGAAAACATTCAACATGACTCAATTGTCTGGAAGTCTCGTTGATGCAAACTGGTTAGATGTACAGCCTCGGTGATGACGTTTTGCAGCCAGCTTGCATTCTTATCTCAACTGGATCCCAGAAGTTGAATTTGCCCGCTTTTGACTGTGTTGCACCGGTCCGAAACCATCTCCGCAAACAGAATTCCTTGGGAAGAATCTCGGGGTTTAATTAAGGTACTTATATTGATTTGGCAACCATGGATGGGTAATTGTGTGTTGGTGAAAATGCATATGGAGGGTTTGTTTCTGGGATGGCCACCAACTCTTGACGTCGATGAGTGACTCGTACACATGCTTTGTTAGCACGTTCCATTATCAGAACCTTACTTTCTCCTTTAAAACTAGAAGTTGAAGAGAAGGTCAAAAGTACTGGTAAGGAGCATCATTCAGAGTTCCCTGAAAGACTTGACGCTTTTCAAAGCATGCTGGAGTGTCCTTTGTTGCAAAGAGTAAATTAGAATTCATTCCACAAGAGTGTTTGTTCCTCAGTCGAGCAATATCAGCAAATGCAAAATCCGGTCTACTGTTAACAATTCATCATCTTCTTCTTAGTCTTTTATTTGTCTGATATTAAATTAATTTAATTTTGTGTGTGTGTGTATATATGGATGGTCGTACCCTATCGCCTTTGTTATTAGGAGGCAAAGCATTCAAGACACTCAATTTTATTTATTTTTGTTTATTTGACCAGAAAAGCTGTATAGAGAATCTGGAACATCCGCTTCAAGCACAAACTCTTTAGCAGCCAAAATGAAAACAAATGGCGTGACTTCCGTATGAATATAGAATACTCCAAACTACTTGAGCGTGGAGCGTTGATCCAAGTAGTGATGTCAAAGAGCGAAGAAATATAATTCTTGTTTTAGGCTTTGTTTACTAAGATTTTAGTGTCTGAATTCAGGACCGAAGGAAGTTTCTAGAGGATTATGCGAGCATTCTTTGTTTCAATGTCCTACACTCTGTTTCTAGCTTACATCCCAATGTTTGACATGGAGAAGTAGTCACTTGGATCAGCTTGCTGTCGCTAAGATATGTGATCCTCTCGTCTATCGGTATTGACGGTAGACTGGGCTATACATGCAGCTCTTGGCATAAGAGAGTAGGTCTGAGGGCTTTGGCAGTTTAGTTGCCAATCCTGCAATCGATCCAAAGCCCAGACATTGCCCATTAGTAATGTTACTACACTCACCATAAGGCTCATGATGTAGATGAACCCACATGATGCAGATGGCCAAAGACGGAAGTGAAGCCATTCAGTTAGACACATGGGATGAAGAATGTACCCAATTCATAAGCTTTTGCAGCTGTTGCCGCTCCAATGTGAGCCGAAATCTCCCGGATTTCGCTGAAAGCTGGAAACAATTGTTTCTTGTCCAGATGATCCTGACTAATCTCGTTAGCTAGCGACTCAGCTGCAATAAATAACGATCATTCCCACATTGTCACGACAAACAAATTTTAAAATCAAACATTGTACCAGACTCAACTGACCTAAATGGCCCAAAGGAGGCTTGCGGTAATGACACCAACACTAGCGGAATGAAGATGAGGAAGCAGATTCAACAAACCTGCAGCCAAGAACATATCATCGTGGACTCGAATAGCTCCCGATATGACACACCCAAGTCCCAAACCCGGGAAGATGTAGGCATTGTTCGACTGCACATCAACCCAAACAATTCAATGTGTTGGATCAATGAAAACTACATTCCCAAAAACCTATTATAATCCAACAGATTGATTTCAAATGTATGAGACAAGAGACAAAGAAATTATCCTGGAAACGTGGACATTGATAACACACCTGGCCTATTGTGTATGTTTTTCCCTCGTAAGTGACAGGTGGAAATGGGCTTCCACTGGCAAAGATGCATTTCCCCTGCGTAAATCATTTATCAGTGGATAAACCATGGTCGCAGAAGGACATGAACTTAGAATTGCTGAGATTTACCTAATCAAGAGACTGTAAACAAACCTTGGTAAATTTGTATGCCTCCTCTGCGGTGCACTCGGACTGTGAGGTTGGATTGGACAATGCAAAAACAATAGGTTTCTGCGCATCACCAGTTAAAACTAGTTAGCGCAATTCATTGTCCTTAACAGATTGCAATTGTACATCTCTATACAGTTAGAGTTTTAATAGTTCAAAGCGGAAGATGTCAATTAGAGAAACCAATCTGAAATTTTGAATACATTGCTTATCTTGACAAATTCATCGTTACTTACATTATTTTGAGAGGAGTTGTGAAGCACTCACCTCTTGGTAGGACGAAATCTCTTCCAACACTGCTTGCGTGAACTGTCCACCCTTTCCAGTCGTACCAATCATCGCTGTTGGCTTGAGTTTCTATGTATTCAGGTCCACAGGCAATTATCTCAGTGTGTTTGGTTTCTAAAGATTAAAGGATTCTCTTGCTGGCAATGTACGCACTGGAGGACAAAACGTTGAAAAATAGAAACACGTCACGACTGGTTTATACCTTAATAACATCCACAAGCTTGGTAATTTCCGGCATGTCGTGAGCAAATGGCTTTTTAAACGTTTCAAGAGTGTTAATTCTTGACTTCGTCACCAAACCCTGCAAAAATAGTGTTGTAGATGCACGTGGGAAGAACCAATTAATCACCTTAAATGGAGTTTTTCAAAAAGAGTCAACTACAACTCATTTGCCTTGCACACATTTAAGTTGCAAAGGACTGGGGTGCTTAAGAACAAACAGTACCTTGGAATCCGCAAGATAAATTTTCGTACGGGCTTCTTCCACTTTTATCTTGCCTTGTCTGGCGATCTCTATAGTAATAAGTTCGGCAATTCCCGTTCCGGCCTGAGAAAGCAACATTCATCTCCAATCTCTCGGTGTTCGTACTCAAATCAATTGAATTACGACGGTTTCATTCCATTTTCATTCATGAGTTCCATCAGTAGCATATGAATCCAACTGATGCCAAAGAGATAGAATCAAAATAAGGACGTGGCAACATACCTCACCAGCACCAACGAAAAGGAATTCATGGTCAGCAAGTGTGCCTCCAGTTAAGGGCAATGCTGCCAACAGTCCCGCAAGTGCAACTGCTGCAGTTCCCTAATCATATCCAACCCCCAAGAGCTCTTAGACGTATACAACATCAAATTTCAACAAAGAAAAGTGATTTTGACCCTCGAGGCCCTGGAAAGCAACAACTGAAAAGACCAACCTGAATGTCGTCGTTAAAGACTAGATATGAACTGCTGTACTTCGCAAGCAGGCGGAACGCATTGTGATTGGCAAAGTCTTCAAACTGCACCAAGAGACATGTGAAGAGAAAACAAGATGGAAGGGTTATTATTTTTTACATAAATAAGCAAATTTATTAACTAAGTAGCTGAAATTACGCGGTTAGAGAAAGGAATGTGGACTTCAGTCTTCTGGCAAACTATTCCGGTTCCATATTCAAAGGATAGCATTCCAAAAGCTTATCGTAATTCCAAAGCTGACTAGTCTTATCCTGGAAGTAAACATTTAAGAGAGGACTGTTAGGAACGTGGCGAGTTCTACTAAGCTTAGTGTAAGTACCTGCACAAGTACTTTCTCTCCGTATGTTTTTTTACACGCCAGCATAAATTCAGCCAATAACTCGTCGTATGCCTGCTCAAACAACCCAATCCATCAAGAAGTCGGTCCAACGGTGATATTCTGAGTGAGATCAACTCCTGACAAAGGCATAGTTGTGTACCTGTTTGAAGAATCCATTACCTGGCCGCCAACTCGCTTGTGGCGAAGCCCAATGTAGAAAGGATTATCCAACAGTGTCTGGTTGTTGGTGCCCACGTCGATGGTAATTGGTAAAGTGCTGGAGGGTCGGATGCCTCCAAGGGCCGTGTACAGAGCAAGTTTTCCTATTGGAATCCCCATGCCCTGCAGCGAACACACATTTTCGATTCTCTTATAACTGTAACCAGCATTCATTCTTCAGACAAGAAATCTGAAGATAATGAAAAACAGCTCAAGAGGAACCAATCTCCGTGAAAAATATCTCAAACATCATTAAGCTTGCTTTGACATCCAAAAAAGAAATCACGGTCCAGTAAAAACAGAAGACTCGTGATTAAAAGAAAGAAGAACGTATTCATCTCCTTGCCGCTTAAGTCTTCCGATCACGGAAGGTGCTTTGACCTCTAGAGCTTTCTTCATCAAAGAAGAAGGGAATTCCCAAAATTTTGCTATGCTTACTTGACATCCAAGATCACCAAGCCCCAGAATTCGTTCACCGTCTGTGACAACGATGACTTGAACGTTCGGTTCCGCCCAGTTCCTCAAGATATCCCGGACGCGTCCTCTACAGCAGAAAGTCAATACGTCAGGCACAACGAAAGGAATGCACCAGCATAACAAATGTAATCCAGTACCAAACTTGATGGAGAATATACTTCTGGATGAAAAAAATCTGTCAAAACTCCCATTGATGCCACTACAAGGTAGTCTAACAACCTGCTTTGAAAGCAAAAATCAACAAAGACCAAAGTACAATGCAGAGAATGCTCACTTGTCCTTGAGTGTGATGTAGAGTCCATGAGGACGACGGAAGATGTTGCCAAATTTTTGGCAGGCTTCTCCCACTGTTGGGGTGTACACAATCGGCAGCAGCTCCTCCACGTGGTCGATCAAAAGCTTGTAAAACAGTCTTTCGTTACGTTCCTGTTTCGTTTGTGGGTTTGGATTTGACGGATCAGTACTCATTTCATTCCAGTTTTCTGCAGCCATGCATGACAACTAGGACTGAAACAACTGAAACTCTGTTTGAGAGATGCGAACAAATCGAAGGAAAGTTTAGCTGCATCCGTGGTTCAGTAGAACAACAAGCACCTGCAGGTCCATCACATCCACGTACTTCTCGAGATTATTCTCGTACGACCGCACGTTTTGCAGAATGCGTTCGATCTGCCACGAATTTAATTGGCACAACACGGTCATCAGTAAACCTTGAATAAGCAACACTTCTAAAACAACAGAAAATATGTACGAACTCAATGCTTCAGAGGATGTTCTTAGCACGGGAAAAGGTCTGTGTCAGTAGCTTGCCTGGCGCTCCTGTGTCAATACGACAGGGGGGAGGAGACCCCTCAAGTAATGCCTGTCTCGCTCCCCTTCTGAAAATGCGGTTCCTTTGTTATAGCGTGGATCTCTCAGGAGGTCGACCCCACTGCACGTTTGTCCCGGCGGCTTTCAATACCAGCATTGCAATAGAGGAGACAGAGTACTCCTTCAAAAGAGTTCTAAGGAAACGTGAGCAACCATGTAATGTTGAATCGATTATAAACTGGATTCTGTGATTCACTATCCCAGCCACACTTAAAAAAGGCACAACATTCTTCTCGTTTACAAAGTATTTGCAGGCCTAGTTGGGTTCTAGAGTGCAATGGGGATATTCTGAACGTGCCTGGCAACCAACTGATTCCATGGGATAAACGTTTGATCCTCAGTGGCAGAATCTTCACAATATGTGTCGCCCACACCACCGCCTGCATCATGTTTGCTGTTGTTCAAATCCAGCACATCGGGTCTAGGACAGACCATCTTCAGTTGACACTCCATGGCCGAGTAGCTAGGATGCGCTGGGTGTGACATGCCAATAATTGCAAGTTATTTTTGCGAATAGCTGATATTCGAGTTCCTAACAAATAAGCTGCTGTCATCGCAGGAACATGGAAACAAGAGCTAAATGAACTTGGGGAGTCTAAACATGGGTCGAAGACGATAAAAGTCATGCAGTTTAAGAGAGCATGTAACGATCTTGCAATTTCAGAGATCAATTGAATCCGAGTTATGTTTGCGGTGCTAGTACATGAGTATATCACGAGCGAAAAGACCGTGTTGAACTGCAGGCGGATGCTATCACTTTAAAAGTGCTTAAACAGCCGGATGGAAGAAAGAAAACAAAATTTGCAGCTTGAGTGGAAACAGAACAAGAAAAATCTGAGTTGAATTCTACACATCTTGCAGGACACACCTCCACACAGTAGCCCAAAGATCAAGAAGCAAATGAGCAACAGCGAGGATACTTAAATAGAGAAACCTGGATGTTTTTAAGTCTCAATCGATCATCCCAATTCGAGCAGCGAACAAACGGAATATGCCAAAATTCGTCATTCAACTAGCAAACGCTCACGAATCTATCAAAAGACCCAAATTCAGAGCCCGAACTATCAGGATCATTCCGTCTCGCTACCATCGAGAGAATTCTGCACAACAATAAAACACGAATGACGGTCTCCATGCACAAGAAACCTACCACCACAAACCTTTAGCACCTGCCGAAGACGCGAAGTGAAAATCTGTCACAGCAACATTCGCCTCGGGAAAAGACTACAAGTGCAACTTATGCAATTTCAATCGGACTCAGGACTCATGCAGCACGAATTCCCATAGGGAGACGAAGGCCGGAGCCATCCCAGTATCCCCCTCGTTCAGACCATGCACCCAGCCAGGGCCATTCTTCCTTCCGCGGCCAATAAAATCCCCACCCGAAATCACGCCGGGGGAATCTCCCACCAATTGCACTAAAATAACATAACCAAGCTGGGCTTCGGTCGAGAACAATCTCAGGAGTTTTCTGTTCGCGGTTTCCAGGTCCGAACGATCTGCGTCATGCAAAGCCACAGTGCAGCACGTCCAGCATGGAGATCAACCAGACACTGATCTGAGGATGTACAGTCAGCGTCTGCGTCATCGAAATAAGATCACTCTCTCCCTGCAAGTCGCATGCAAATCGATCAAGCATCACGTGGAATGCCATCAGCGGCTGTCACGAGTGACGAAGTGATCGTGCGAGGCAGAATTCTCCCCTGCAACCCCAAATACAGGAAAATACCACAAAATTCGAAATAGAGGATCGATTCGAGTAACCTCAAAACCAGGCCCCACAACTCAAAGAGTGACAACAACGTCTTCCGCAACTTCTTCCACACCTTCCACAATTAAAAAAAAAAAAAAAAAACTACTCCACAAAGCGCTTCTCGTTACATCCTGGACCGAATTGAGAAACAGTCCTTCCCAATCGTGGTGCCTGGTTTCCTCGCCATCTTCTTCTCCATTATTATCGTCGTCTTCGTCATGGTCTTCGTTATCGACTTTGACTGCGTGGGATTGCAGGTATTAGAGATGCTCATCGCCACCATAACCGAGGAGCATTCCCCCTCCCTTGCAAACGGGTTGCTTAGAGTTTGTAAGCACAGCAAAGCAACGCAAGCAATTTCAGTGTGCTTTATTTTGCTACAACGGTGAAGAAAATGTTCACGTGGTTTGGAATTATGGGTTGGTTAGTTTTATTTTTTTGGAAAATTTGAGTGCGTTATGACCATGCTAATTTGCAAAGAAATTTCAAGGTTTGTGTACCGTGTAATGAAGGGAGTATTGGAGGCAACGTAATTAACAGATTAAACGTGAAACAGTTTTTTGGGTTTAGCAACAGCACTGTGTTTTAATTGATTTTATTATTAAAGAAAGCGGGTCTGTCTTTTTGATGTGGACTGAAGTTGTTTGTGCAAACCCTCGGTGTCAATTTTCATTTTATTATGAATCACTCTGTGTGGATGAGATTTCATGATCCTTTATGTTGCATTTTCTAAATCAGCATTAGACATGAGGCAGATTGACATATATTGAACACATGATAAGCTTTGATGGAAGCCTATCTAGTTTGAACAGCTTCAGAAAGTCTCAAGTTAGATTTTTACAATTGATGCAGTTGGTTTGTCCAAACTTCAAATCCAACACGTCTTACACATATTGTAGAAAACCTAGAGGTTTGATTTTAATATCGCCAATTGTTGTAGATTTTTCCGGAGAATCTTGCCTGTTGATGACCTGGGTATGAAGTCTGTGAACACCACTTTTCGCACTTTCTTATAAGAAGCTACCTGACCAACAAACCACAAGGCTCAATTTCTGATATCTTAATCCAGCATTGCCAAGCGTAGCTATTTAATACATCATCCTCAAACTCAAAAATATCACAAACCAAACCCTTCACAATCTGCATTCCAAGCACACTTCAGAAACATGGACTAAACAGTCATTAGAAATGAGTTGAAGAAATCGAGAACCATAACAATCCTGCAAGTGAAGGATCGTGAAACTTCGGTAAGAGAATTTGTCACCTGATTAGCAACCCACTGCATGATCTCGTCACCAGTCGTCTCAGACTCTCTTCTCCGGACGATGCATGCCATGGGCACTTGGCCGAAGTCCTTGTCTGGACATCTGGGCACCACAATGCACAAAGCAAATCTGTTAAGCAGAATGGAACCTCAAACTTGACTTACCTTCACGTGAAGTTCAAGTAAAGATTTGTAAGTTTGAGTTACAATACTCACGGAATAACTGCACAGTCTAGCACTGCTGGATGGGAGGCAAGTAGATCTTCCATTTCAGCAGGGGCCACCTGCATCATGCAATCGAACAAGAGTCTAAGCGTCCGTCACACAACATCAGAATATGCAATTGTGTATAGTGTTCATCTCTAGGATTCTGAAGAGTTTGTGTTACAGATCTGCACAGGTTTGAACATATGTTTATGCACAGTGTTATGCAGACAGGCAGGAAAGAGAGATTTATTTTTTATTTTTTATTTTTTTGTGTGTCGTAGTGCACCTGATAGCCCTTGTACTTAATCATCTCCTTGAGTCGGTCCACAATGAAGAGATACCCTTCTTCATCAAATTTCACGATATCGCCCGTGCAGAGCCAACCTTTCTCGTCGATTGCTTCCTCGGTTTCCGCACGGTTGTTTATGTATTCTGCATCATTTCCCGACATTGATATTGTTTCCAGATCGTGTGGCTTGCAGGTGTCATAGCAGTAAAGAGAATCTGGCTATGTTCAACTTGGAGTCGCTTGCAAATTACCTTTCATGACACAAGGTCCGCGAACCCGAAGCTCTCCTCTCTTTGTTGGGGGTAGAGGCTGGTTCGTAGAAATGTCGACCACCATAGCCTCCCACATTGGGAGAAGGCAACCGGACGAACCCACACGGTCGCTGCAACCCACCGGCACGGCTGTAACGCAACAGCTTGACTCCGTCATTCCGTATTCCTGTTAATTCCGAAACCAACACAGGATTTACGTCGTAGAAATTCGACATTTTGGGCAGGAATTTTGTGGTGTGAGAAGTAGGACACGGGGAGGAGATGTCACCTGCTTTAATTCCACACTCGGATACCGCTCAGCGAATGCCGCGAGGATCTCCGACCCCAGAGGTGCTGCTCCACATGAAATCTGCTTAATCGACCTTAAGTCGAAGTTTCGCGACTCCTCGGCCTTGTCTACTAGAGCTTTCACCATGGGCGGCACCGATGGCATGTGCGTCACGCCATACCTCTGGATGGCAGCAAAAGCTGTTCCAGTGTCGAACATTCCTAAGACGACCACCGATATTCCTCGAGCTAGAGAGGTCAATGTACACCATGTGAACCCATAGAGGTGAAACATTGGCAAGATCACCAGAGTGCACGAGAGCTTCTCGCCAGCATATGAGTTGTACCCGCTGACTGCGGAGATATAGTTTCGGTGTGTCAGTGCAACCCCCTTGCTCTTCCCGCTCGTGCCAGATGAGAACACAATTGAAGCTACGTCGGTTTGTTTAAGCTGTGGACTGCACTTCATTGTTTCACTAGCGTTAATCCAGGCAAACCATTCGACTTGTTTCGAGCAATCCAATAGAGATTTAGATTAGCACCTTGAGAAATCCACTGTTTTGGTCGTGATTAAATCCGAGAAGCTAAACGTTTTGAATTCGTGAGGCACGCTTTCCAGTCTCCCGAGGATCACTGTTGGTAAATTCGCTGACGTAACCTTCTCCAACAACTTTGCAGTTGTGATAATGTATTTCGCTCCTGGACAAAGCAAAGTGCCCTGTTGATGAAAATCAATCTCCAAAACGTTTCTTTTGTTTCACATACATGTGCCACATGGAATGTGGACATTTAGTGATCAGCTTAAATGCCGTCCGTGCTGCAAGAATTTGTGAATATTCAGCATTTAGCTCACGTGAGCAGAGAGTATGAGTGCGAATTCGAACAAAAACCTGCATTGTTCATCTGTTTGCGCAACTCCTGCACTGAGTTGAGGGGATTGAGAAGGGCAACAACTGCGCCAAGCCATGTTATTGCTAAGAAGACAGACGGAAAGTCTATAGAGTTCGGCGACAGGATCGCGACAACATCGTGCTGCCGCACTCCCACAGTTGTGAACAACCCAGCTGCCAGAGCACGAACGTTCCGCTCAAGCTCCTTGTACGTAAACGATCTGCCAGTGAGGGGGTCAATGAGGGCCACCTTGTCGCCGAATTGGCCAGCAAACACGAATGACACAAGATCCAAACTGTCATCCTCCGGGATAACGACAGGCGGCAACTTGCTGTAGTACACGCCATTGCTGCTGCAATATCCTGAGCGGCGATCTACGATCACATCAAACCTACCCATCACTAGGAACAAGATTCCACTCCCTCAAGTTTCCAGACCTGCAAACATACTCGTCGTGCAACGCATTAGCATTCAAGTGCTGTCAATGTTTCCCACCTCGTAACCACCAAACATGCAATAAATAAATAAATCTCTATCACCTCGTTCATAGCGACCACCTCGTAACCACCAAACATGCAATAAATAAAAAAATCTCTATCACCTCGTTCATAGCGACCACTGCATGACTCTCAGCATTCTTCCTTCACCTAGCGGGACGTGTCACACAAACAAATCTCTCAGCACAGAACACGTTTCATGCCCCATGATTCTAATCCCTACACAAAAGTCAAAAAAACTCGCTTCGAGTGGTCATACGGCGGGATACGGTTTTGCAAAAGGTGCTCGAGGACTCCTACAGCGACCTTATTCTGCATGGCAGAATCGCGGCCATACTCACTGTGCAACGCATGGCGCAATCCCATAGCCAGATAAAGCATTCGTGTTGTGGTTTTTTGATGATAATTTTTTTGTTTTGTTTGTTTGGGTATCCATCGTATTTGGAAGGGCCAGGTCTCCGTCACACGCACGACTCACATGGTTTTTGACAAGCTTTCCATGAAGCTGGATTCAAGGGTAGAGGACTGAATCGAAGCCATTGCAATAGCTACTCATCCCACTCATGCTTTTCTTAGGCTTGATTGAGATCAGCTTTGCAGGCTCCTTTGCCACCGCGAATTCCATGTCTTCTCCTAAAGCACGCCGAGGGCGTGACCGCTAGCACGCCGCGCCGTCGGGGATCCATCCATCCATCATATCATTCATCCACTCTCACACTCATCCCACCACATACAACTATTCATCTATATATTCATCCACGCATTCATCTCTACATTCATTTATACGTTCGTCTATGTGAATGAATGAAGAATTCCTCCCCTTCGGACTGTCTAAGGGAATATCTGACTACAATGTGAGCCACATAATTTATAGGCCCACGTGTCCCACACTTCGTGTGAAAAGAATGTTTGAAGTGTTAAAATAGATTAATTTAGTGTCGAAATGGCAAGAGTGTTGGATATGTTTGATTATTTGTATCCATAGATAAGTGTTTGGTTCCTTGAATTGGGTTGACAAAGTAATAGAAAATAATGAGTTGGATGGGTGTTCTAATAATAGTACAAATGTTTTACAAGAAAATAAATTTGGTCATGAAAAACTTTGGTGTTGTGTATTTGGAAGATGGGAATCAATGTTTATGTATGTTTAATTAATGTAAATTTTATGCCTCTTATTATTAAAAAGTGACACTAAAAGAAAAAAGATCTTAAGAACATAATGAAGCATTATAGAATATTTGTGATAAAAGTAAAAGTTGACAAAGCTTGTATGAAGGATATAAATCATGAGAAACCAAAGGATCAATATACTCTTGAGTAACTTAAAGAGAGTAGATAATTGCTCAAAGATAGTATAATATTAAGATTAGAATAGCTATTACCAAAGACAAGAAGATTTGAGACTTTTGAAACAAGATTAAGAACAAAAAATGCATTGATAAGAATGAAAAAGGATTTATTATTGTGTCCATATATATTATCTAACTAATAGCTGTGTGGCAATGTTCTATAGGACTTCTAACATGTATTCAATTTATGAGACATATGTCTAACTTGCAAGATAAGTTTCACATGTGCATTATATGATAAATTTTTACCACAAGTGGCTAATATGTGTGACACTTTCATAGACATACATACTCCAATAATTACCTAGATAATATAACTAGGTAGAAGTAGGTGAAAACATGTTAATTTAATGATATCTTGCAGAAAAGCTTTATAAAAGCTTTATAGATGCAATTTCACCTTTAAACATGTCTATAGGTGATTGGTAGATTGAATACTTGGCTAATAAGTTAACCACGTGTTGCATGTGTTAGTAGATTATATTACAAACTAACCATGTGACACACATATAAGAAACTTGCCTTGAAGTTAAAATACATATCTTATGTTGGAGGTCCTATAGAACATTGCCATATAGTTCTTAGTTAGATAGTATATATAGAGGCAAGAGTGAAGCCTTCTTCACTCTTGTCAATACCTTTTGAGTACTTAGTCTTATTTCAAAACTTTCTAGTCTTCTTGTCTTTAGCAATAGCAATTCCAATTTAATACTATACTATCTTTGAGTGATTTTTTAGTCTTTTTGTATGACACAAGAGTTTATTGATCTTTTAGTTCTTTGAGATTTATGTCTTTAACATTATTAATATCAATTGCAAGAATTCGTTCTAAACAACAAACACATTACTTCCACATAAGAATAAATAAAATAACTAGTTAATTTAAAAGCATATAATTTTATTAACTTAAATCTCTATTTCATCTATTAAATGCTTCTATTCAAAGTATGATATAAGTTATTTAATTTTTATTTAAAAAAGAAAAAAATTATGTATATATATATATATATTATTTTATTTTAATATTATAATTAAAGATGTTATTGGACATGATTGCATATAAGAATCTTTTGAATTCCACAAAAAATATTTGTGAAAAATTAATTATTTTCCACTAAGATTATCTTCAACAACCACCAAGGAGGTGAATTTTTATTTTATATTTTAATCATAAAATACATACAAATTTTCACAAATTCATATGCTCTCACAATTAACTAATTAGATAAACCATTCTAAATTAATCATCCAACCATGAATACAAGTCCTCCAATTAAACAAATTGCTTCTTAGCTGCCCCCCTCTATTCTCTTCTTTCTCTGCAACAACAACAATATCGTCCTCAATTAAGGAAATTAATTAATTAAATTACCAGACCACCATAACCTCATGTTTCTCTGCAGTTGTAACAGCATCATCTCTAATGAAAGAATTTATCAACTTAGTCATTGATGTGATTAGTTTAGCTAATGTTGAACTGTCCTATCCTCCTTTGTAGCAACATAGAAATTATCAATAGTCTCCAACATAGAAATCATCAACAACATATCATAAATATACTCTCCGTCAAGCTTGGTTCTGGATTACACTTGTGCTGGAGAATTCCTTTCGTTGTGCCTGACGTATTGACTTTCTGCTGTAGAGGACGCGTCCGGGATATCTTGAGGAACTCGGCGGAGCCGAACGTTCAAGGACTAAGACTGAAACAACTAAAACTCTGTTTGAGAGATGCGAACAAATCGAAGGAAAGTTTAGCTGCATCCGTGGTTCAGTAGAACAACAAGAACCTGCAGGTCCATCACATCCACGTACTTCTCGAGATTATTCTCGTACGACCGCACGTTTTGCAGAATGCGTTCGATCTGCCACCAATTTAATTGGCACAACACGGTCATCAGTAAACCTTGAATAAGCAACACTTCTAAAACAACAGAAAATATGTACGAACTCAATGCTTCAGAGGATGTTCTTAGCACGGGAAAAGGTCTGTGTCAGTAGCTTGCCTGGCGCTCCTGTGTCAATACGACAGGGGGGAGGAGACCCCTCAAGTAATGCCTGTCTCGCTCCCCTTCTGAAAATGCGGTTCCTTTGTTATAGCGTGGATCTCTCAGGAGGTCGACCCCACTGCACGTTTGTCCCGGCGGCTTTCAATACCAGCATTGCAATAGAGGAGACAGAGTACTCCTTCAAAAGAGTTCTAAGGAAACGTGAGCAACCATGTAATGTTGAATCGATTATAAACTGGATTCTGTGATTCACTATCCCAGCCACACTTAAAAAAGGCACAACATTCTTCTCGTTTACAAAGTATTTGCAGGCCTAGTTGGGTTCTAGAGTGCAATGGGGATATTCTGAACGTGCCTGGCAACCAACTGATTCCATGGGATAAACGTTTGATCCTCAGTGGCAGAATCTTCACAATATGTGTCGCCCACACCACCGCCTGCATCATGTTTGCTGTTGTTCAAATCCAGCACATCGGGTCTAGGACAGACCATCTTCAGTTGACACTCCATGGCCGAGTAGCTAGGATGCGCTGGGTGTGACATGCCAATAATTGCAAGTTATTTTTGCGAATAGCTGATATTCGAGTTCCTAACAAATAAGCTGCTGTCATCGCAGGAACATGGAAACAAGAGCTAAATGAACTTGGGGAGTCTAAACATGGGTCGAAGACGATAAAAGTCATGCAGTTTAAGAGAGCATGTAACGATCTTGCAATTTCAGAGATCAATTGAATCCGAGTTATGTTTGTGGTGCTATAACGTGATTTTGGAAAGTGTGAGATAAGTTGATTATAGGAACACAACAAAAAAACATCGAGAAGCCATGTCGTCAGCTGCGTAGAGGACCTGTGGTAATTCAATTGTTGACGAGAGATGCTAAATACCTGTGATAGCCACCCTCTTAGTGTAATTCACAAGGGATGGCTGCGTGAGTCTATTGTGACTCATATTGCAGCCTTATCATGTTGCAGTATCTACTGCTGTCACAGTATTTACAGCGGGTACATTTGCTGAAGAATTGCTAGGACAACTCCGATCAAGTGAGAGCGGCCACGATGATGAGGGTATAGGCGTGGCGTTCACTTCCCTGTTGAGGAGGCTTGTCGAACTGGATATTGATTTGCTCTTCTGTGGTTGGATATGCCATTTGAAAGGATCTTCTGGCCAGGACAATTCTGGTCGTCGGCGAGAAACTGTCACCGCTGGCTCGTCGTTTGCAGAGTCGTCTCTAAGGTATAAGCCGTAAGTGAATTTAATTCCCAGCCTACGGCGAACAAAAATGAGATCAAAAAATTTGTCATTCAAACCAAGGACCCTTCCGCATGTACGTCATAATATAAGAGAACTAATTATCCTGACAACATAACATACTTGAGTTATGTTCCGCCTAACTAAAAGTACTAGGAAATGATTCATACTGGAGGTCATTCGTTACCAGATGATGAAGAAGATGCCGATAATGACAGCGAAAAAGATGGCAATGAAGTCACTAAACCAAAACTTCACAAAGCTGCATCGAAACCACGGTTGCATAGAAATATCAGATGTTGCATCCATTACTTTGGGTAATGTTTTTGAAAGAACACTAAGGTCCAAATATACTTTGACAAGAAATCGTCATTAGCATCCAACAGACAATCGGCGATACACAAGGAAATGGTGAATGTAAAGTCTACAAAGTAAAGGGCTTACCCTAAAGAACAGAGGAGCGCCAGAAAAAATGTAATGCCTGCAAAACAAAACACAAGATTTGAGCCTCTGTTGTTAATTATTGCTCCGAGTCATTTAACATGAATGACGAAGAAATTTATGATGAGTATTACCCCATGAAAACATACGAAAAGCTCTCTTCCAATCGCCTTCACACCTGCAGCATTGAAGTCATCAAGTTTGAACCGTATCAGTAGCATGATTGACCTAAAAACATATACAAGTTCTTTTAGAACAGTCCAAGAGACCAAATCGATGAAGCAAGATACATTCAGCGTCACAAACACTCTTATCAACGTTTCGGCATGACAATTCGCATGTGGTGAGTCCAAACATCCCGATATAAAGGATGAGCTACGTGAATGAGGTAGACATGAAGGCTCTTTCAGAAATCATCTCGATGAAAAAATCAAAAAAACTACACAAAGCCGCAGAGATCTTGCTGTTAAACTTTAAAACTCTTACGCTGCCTGAAATTTTGAATTTTTTTTTGACGAAAATGGAAATTGACAAACTAGCACACCCTGTCATAAATCATCTAGAACACCGCTTAAGTAAAGCACTTAGAACCTGAATTCCCAAAATCGATCGAACGTACGGCGAGGAGCTGGAGGGGCAAGTTGCGAAGGGTGGGCAGATTCGGCATAAATACGACACTGTGCCATGAATTCCTCTTCAGCTTCCTCGGAAACAAACCACTTCCCCATCTTCAAAATAGATCCAAGAAGAAACACACTGATCATCGTTGCTGTTGTCATGAGAGTTGGCTGAAAACCCACAGTTGGAATCCGTCAGTCACCTACGAAGCTAAGATTCGAATAGCAACATTCTGAAGAGGAGACACAGATCCGAGACATACTACATGCTTGCTTACATAAAACAAAGTGAGAGGAGACTAACCACAAGAGCGGTGAAGATAGCATAGGCTGTTAATCGAGCCTGCCAGTCATTTAGCACAACACATACATCGATCAAATGACAAATGCAAATAGATTCATGGAGCTTCCAAAAAGAGCAATGAGCACCTAAATAAACAAAACATTTATTTAAACACGACGCTGATTCCTGAACCACACTTATTAATAGAATAAAGGAACGTTCTCGGGATATCTGACTCTGCTACTATTCGACAGAATTAGCAGAACAAAAACCTAAAGCTATCCTTAACAAAACCCTCTCAAATGAAAAAAAAACTATTCGTGAAGAAAATAACAGCAACATATTCACGAGGTTAGGATAGTCGCATACTGTAGAAACGGTGGCATCGAATTGAAACTCTACAAGCGTTGTCATTGTGAAACTGGTAATCAGTCCTGTAAGCCAACTGAGTAAACGAAGGTGCTCCGCCTTCTCATCTACTTCACGTCTATTCAATTCTGCACATCTGTTCACAGCTTTTCTCAAACACGACTTCAACACCAGTATGTGACGAGTACTCTGACGACGTTTTGAAACATAAACCTTTCAAAACAGAAGCCTAAACGCCAACACGATCAGGCGGCCTGAAAGCAACAGTACTTCAAATTTCAAGGATCGCAGCGACAGCAGATCAGATACATTCACAAACATAAACTAGTGGTGATATCCCTGTTCTAACCTGGACCAAAGGTAATGCGAATTATCCACTCGCCTCTGCTTCATATCTTCTTCGCGCCATCTACCAAATTCATGGACGATACACGTAAATATGATGGACCCAGTTTCAATTTAGAAAAATATTGCGATCTCAGCAAGCTGAAAGCTAATTAGTGCGGAACCGCCTTGATACCACGTCAACACCATACTCAGGAGCACGGACTTGATAGTAATTCTATCAACAAGCGAAGATTTCTCATCTATTTAGAACAATTTTTATTTGGTATTAATTTCCATCAGTATGAGAAGCAGCAAAAGTTCAGTCGATAATAATACCTGCGTTTTTGCATCCGAAACAGAGCTTCTGCACGCTCGTATCTCCGAGCATCTGCGCGGAAGATCAATTCCTCGGATCGCCATTGCCTCACATCTTTTCGCCACATACGCTCGCGCTCCCTCCACTTGCGCGACATCCATGTATCCAGCGCTGTCAATCCTGCCTGCGCCATATTCTGTCGATTTCTGCTGCTCTTTGATCATACTCCGCTCTAAAACCCTACATCTTCAAATTCGCAACAACGACCAAAATCAAACTCTGTAAACCTTCAAAACTCTGCTCAGAAATACACGCGCACTCCAGCCTGTGGAGAGAATCACAATATAGCATCATCTCATCAAAACTTTGCTGCACCCAACTCCTGAATTCGCTGCTTGCAACAAGGACACCGGTTTCAAGTAAAGCTTCCGAGATATGCTCATGAGAATCCACTCATAAGTCCAAGAGCTCCGACTATCATACGTGGACACAAAACAGTGGGAATCCGTGCCTCACACAAATACGTCAAGTAGTCTGTGTGGAAGTAAGTTTGCAGAACAAGGGTTGTGAGTTAAGGGTTATTCAATCCACAGAATTTTGATAAACGAAATTCTTAAACAGGTGACCCATAAATTAAACTCGTAAGAAATATGCACTAAATTTATAATCTGTTCTCCAAAGTATCTATTCTGACGTAGAAAGATGAGTAGATGAGTAGCACACACACATTCCATCTCGTGATATTCCATCTCGTTAAACTTGTTGTCTCTTTCCATCTCGAAGTTCCTTGTAGCATGGCTATATTCCATCCGATGTCACTTTTTAGGTTTGACCCAGAGGTTTTCAAGAAGTAGGCATTGTTTTCTGACTATTTGCAACATGCTGCCGATTCGGAGAGAACCTTTCGATGGTGAGTGAGGGTGTGGATGAAGGAGCGCACTCATAGGTTTGTCTCCTTGCAGACTCAAAGTCAGAGTTCCTTGCGAGTTTGCAAAGAGGATTATGCGACACTAGGAGACATTGTCCTTGTGGCATGTGGATGTTAAAAATGGCGCATTCCTGTCATTGTACAATTCAGGTGATTATTAATGCAGTTTTTCGCTGTTCTGGATCTCAGAAATATTGCAACCCAAGTTGATGCTTGAAAGAATTCGTCGCTCATTCTACGTCAACATTTAAAAACACTCATCTATTCACTCTCTTGTATTTGGGTAGGAGGATCGTCGAAGTTGTGTGCTATGGTTTATGGCGGGCACAACGCCAGGGAATAGCTGCTAAAATATGCAGGAACACCCTCCGTTGCATTTCAGTATGTCAAAAGATCGTTGCTTCCTCTGGGGTCATGAGTGTAAATTTGGGAACAAGTTTAGACCAAGACGAGGAACTACCTGAAGTGGAATAGGGGACGTAGATACCACAAAAATGGAAAAACATACACAAGAGGATATTACCCATATCCAGAATTTTCTGAGAAGAATTTCGGATGTTGATCATAGCCAAGAGGACGACGGTGAAGCTGCTCTTGTCCCAGCTGCTAATCAACAGAATTGTAATGATCCTTAATGTACCACTTCTATTGTACCGTTATCAGGTCATGTTTGCTGGGTTTGTGATCAGTCCAAATTATTTGCGGCTTGCACATTCTCTCATGCTGCAAACCTGCATCATGTACTTAAATGAGTGCGATTACATGCTTCTTGAATTGCATTGGAGATGTCACAGCACTTCTGTAGCAATCATAGCATCGTACTGTAGCTGGGTGTTAACTGCAATGGCATTTACACATTAACAAACCAACTCATGATGTGAGCACGGAGAATGCAGTTTATGGGAGCTTCAAGGATTTGTTTCTAAGAGCGCCACCTCCATCAGCAGCATCATCCCTATCGTCACTGCCACCATCACCACCACTATCAGCAGCATCATCACCACCTTCAGAGCCAGAGCCACTGCCACCACCACCACCGCTGCTTGAGCCAACGAGATTCAACGTCGTAATGTTACCCTTGTTGCAGGCCAAGAAGTGGGTGGTCGAGCATCCAAAAGCAACCATGGCAACCATTGCATTTTTACTTTCGACAGTGATGAACTGGATGCCTTACTACAAGGAACTCCACAAACTGGTCTGTTGGTGCATTGAGGATGAGTCTTGTGCCGTTCGATTCCTACTCCAGCCTCTGAAGTTTCTGATTCTTTGTGTAGGTTGAGCATTGGGCTCTTGGGCCATTCGCCGATGCATACTTGGTCATGGAGCTTGTGTTTGCAAATGTATGTGTGCACAGGAAGTTCCAGGATTTCCTGTTCAGATCTTATGTTTTCTTCTCCATCAAGTTTCATACAGCAACGAAGTGGAATCCTCACACCATTTCTGATGAACTATCCAATCCTCTGTTTCTGAAACAGAAATTGTTATTTTACAATGCTCAATTAAATAAATCTTATATATATATATATATAATTATGCTATTTTTCTTTAGAGAATGTTATAATCTCTTTGTTTAGAATAATAAGAATATTTTTAATTATTGAGTAATACACAAAAATTTTAAATACAAATTCATTCTAAAAATAAATTAAATAACTCTGAAACTAAAAAAAAAAAAAAAGCTTCAGGTTTTAGATATCATGCTTATTGATTTTTTAACTATTCATAATAATTTTTTGATTCCAAATTTATAATTAACTATTTTTAATTTTTTCTTAATACCATTATGAATTAAAGTTGCACACTTACTAAATTTAAATTACTACTCTCAAGTCTAAGCTATATCATGTTTTGTAGAAAGAACATATATTCTTTCTAAAAAAAAATATTACTCTCAAATCTAAGCTTTCAACTAGAAAAAAATTACACTATTAAAATTTAATAATAAAAAAATATTTTAAAATATCTATAGAATTTAATAATCATATTTTATAAATTAAAGATGTTTTATAACTTTAGAAGATTTTTCAAAATATATTTTGAAGATTATTGTAAATTAAATATTATATGTATAGCATGTTTTTTCTTAGGATATGTAGAAATAATGTTATTAGTAAATTAAATAATTCTTTGATTATATATATATATATATATATATATATATATATACTATATCAGTAAATTATGGTTACAATCTTTAATATTATCATAATTAAAATTTGGTATAGTTATTATTATATACAAGAAATTTTTTAATTTTTTTTTATAATGTAGATTCTTACAATGGTATTAATAAGATTACCTTGAATTCATATACTTTATTTATTCTGAATTAATTGTTGTAGGGAGATAATTTATTTTTAAGCAAGATCATGACTCTGTTCAATGCATGCACCACACACAACTGCATGTTGTTATTCATTAGCCTCTTAGATAATATAACTCAATAGTGTTATTTGCATTTGTACCATCAAGGATTTTAAACATCCTCTATTCTTCTTCTCCTTTCACTTTCCTTGGTTCTTACCTTAAAATCCTAGTGGTCATGTATTGTCTTCTCATTCACACATACTCGCTTCTTCTTCTCCTTTCACTTCTTTTTGCCCCCTATCGTAAAGCCCTCATAGCACTGTATTGTCTCTTTGTTTACATATCTTTGTCCTCCTCCTTCTTCACTCCCTTTTGTCCTCACTATAAAATCCTTGTAGCTGTGTGTTCACTCCTTGCTCATACATCCTTCCTTCTTCTATTCCTTTCAATTCCCTTTGCCTTAAGCACATTGAATACTATATCACAATTGTATCTTGGCTTGTCTTGGTTGCATTTGATTTGTGAGTTGGGAGAGGATTTGAATGATTTAAAGGATGGAAGAGTTTATCAACCTAGAGTATGGTGAAAACATCTATAAACTTGTTTGTCTATGATGATTTGTAGTATATTTTGAGAATTAAGTAATTTTTGACATACAATTGTAATCTCTTGTATCATACATCTTGAAAGATTCAATGTTTTCAATAGAGGATTTGAGTTGGAGTTCTTTCATAAAAAGAACTTCTATTTACTTTGTAGAGCCATAAACAAGATAAAATAAGATAAATTAGCAAAAATAATATTATAGGAATCTTTTAGTAATATTAAAGAATAGCTTTTGGTAAAACTTTCTTAAAAAAAACTTAGATTGATGCTTAAGGAGGATCATTTTTGAACTAAGGTTAAAACCAAACTCCAAGATATAAAACCATATGTTCATAGAAAATCTAAGTGTTTTATTGATTAGAAAGTGGAATTTAAAAAAAAAACAATAGATGTATTCTTTGGATATTGATTTTGAATGATTTGAATTTGTAATAACTTTGCAAGAGCTTTGCAAAGTGAAGATAGTTTTGGAATGACTTTGGTTTTGAGAAATAAAAATAATTTATACTTTAGAACTTTTTGTAAGATTAATAGTAGATATTTAAATAAAAATTTGTAGATTTGTCATCAAAGTTATATTAATGTGTATTATAAATTTAAGCTTAATTAAACTATTTATTTTTAAATTATTAAAACTCAAGTAGATTTGAATCTTAGAAATTGGAGTTTAAAGGATTATTGAGGGTTTTTAAGATTTGTAGCAATTTACTTGTTAGATTCAGATAAACTTTTGTATAGTAGTAGCATACTTAATTTGTAACAGTTTAAAAAAATTGAAAGCAATTGAATGGTGAAATCAAAAGATATTAATGTTGAAAAATTGGCATTAAGGTTGGAAAAGAAAACTAGCCAAAATCCAAACAGATAATGAGGTTTATCTTCCATTTATTAAATTTAATCATCTTCAAATTTATTGTACTTTTTGTCAACTAATAAATTAAAACATGTAGAAATTTTGAATCAAAAGCAATGATTAAATTATTAGTTTTTGAGGTTTTAATATAACTTAAGATTTGGTGAAGGTTTAGCTAGGATTATTTAGAATTTAATTAAGATGTAATTAGAATTTGATTAGAATTTTTTAAAAATTTAGTTAAGATTTAAAATTTAATATTTTATTAGGATTTTTTAGAATTAGTTTAAAATTAAAGATTTTATTAGAATATGATTAATATTTGATTAGGATTTTATTGAAATTTAATTAAAATTTAATTAAAGTCTATTAAAGATTATATAAGGTTTATTTGGAATTGATTAGAAAGTGACAAGATATATCTAAGATTTTTTTTCAGGTTGATAGGATGAACTAGGATAATTGGGAGTTTAATTAGGTTGTTTAAGGTTGCTAGAAGATATTTCTAAACATTATTTTGGGTTATTTTGGATTGTAAATCAAACTTCAAATTAAATTCAAATCCTTCTATAATCAAATGTCTAGAGCATTCTAATGTTAATTTTCACATAATATGACAATGCAATGAGTTTTAAATCTCTTATTAAGTAAGAATAGACTTAATATTAATAAAAAGGACTATGCTTATATTGTGGAAAATCTTAGCATACTACTCAGCATTGTTCTAAGAAGCAATATAATCTTAAAATAAAGAATATAGCTATTAAAGAATATAATATGTTAAAAAATAAATTTATCCAACATCAAGCAACTAGAATCTTGTATAATACCTAGTGAAGGTTTTATTCTCTGTTCAAAATCTCCTCCTTATTTTACAATAGATGTTTGTTTAGGATATAAAAATCATAAAATATTTATCTTACTAGATTTAAAAGTTTTAATTTTTATTTGAATGAAGAATTTGTTAAAAGACATAGAATATATTTAGTAAAGAAAATTAAACATGTATATATAGAAGTCAAAGATGTTCATTTACTATCTTTTAAAGATGTTATCTATAAAATCTTTCATATAAATGTAATAATAAATGATCATAATAGCTTTGTGATATTTATTATAATTTGATCTTTGTTTAATCCTATCATATTAGATTCTTAGTTACTAAAAAAAATATATTTCTTATAAAAATTAGATTTCTTATAGTCTTGATTTTTTTTCAAATATAATTAAATTTCTTCTTAATAAAATAGAAAATCTTTAGTTTTGTAGAACTAAATTCTTATTGATAAGTATAAAAAAATTTCATACCTACTGCAAAAAAAGGGTTATTTTTTGTTTTTTATGCCACACCCATTTCTAATAGAAAAATAAATTTAAGTGGCATTCTCAGCCCATATGAAGATTATTAAGATGTTTTTTGACAAGAAGAATGTCAATATTCTTCCAAAGTATTGCCTTTATAACTATGCAATTGATTTTTAAGAAGAAACTTAAATACCATTTGGACCAATTTACAATTTTTTACAAAATCAATTGCTTAAATTCAAGGAATATATTTAAAACAAAATTAGACTATTTCAAAAAACCTAAGACCTTTCTAATCCTTGGCAATATAAAGCATCATCACAAAATAAGACAAAATAAATTAGAACAATAGTAAACAAAATTAAATAGAATAAGACATGAAAGTCAAAATTGATCAAACGGAAATAGAATAAAATAGAACTAAATAAAAAGATGCAAACCAAATTTTACTAAGAAAAAGGATCCAAAGCCATACCTAATCAAATCCTCCAAAAGGCCCTAGCCATTCCTATTTATACCTTGTTCTATTACCTTAGACTTTCTAGAATGTTTCTAAGTGATGGATCCTACCTAGATAACCGCCTTAAATTTCTTTTTTGGAGGATTCTATAGTGGATCCTATCTAAATAACTATCCTAAGCCTTTTTTAAAAGGTTCCATGATTAGCCCTTCTTAAATAACCACCTTGATTTCTTTCTAAAATGGTCGTTGGTGGATCATATCTAGTTCTCTAATATAATTCCAATTCTAGAAACTTCTATGGTTCTAACTATCAATACGATTATTTTATCTATACCATATTACAATTAATCCTCTTTTACTAATGCGAAACATCCTTGTTTCACTCCTATTGGTATTTCCAAATTGTTTCTTAGCAATAGATGATGTTTCATGTAGGTTCTCACATTGCATCATGAATGGGATAACCTTTCCAAAGAACTTTGTATTGAAGTTGTGGACATCTATTGCCATGGCAAAAGTAGTGATGCTCTAAAATGTTGTCAATTTCATATTTTTGTTCATCATCAACTACAACTGATAGTGGTGGTGGTTGGTGTCGATCCAGAAAGTGCTTTGGCTTGGTATGAAATTCCTTCAGTTGCAAAATAAGAAAAACTAGATGGACCTGAATATGTGGTGGAAGCTCAAGGTTGTATGCAACATCAAAAATCATTGCAGAAATGCAAAAAGGTCCAAGCCTCGAAGGTGCTAGTTGTAAGCAAACTCTAAGGGCATCAAGTATTTATTCCAATCATTATGATGAACCACTACAAATGTACACAAGATATCTTCTAATAAGATCTTAGAGGATATATTTATCCATCTGTTTGGAGGTGGAAGGCTGTAGACATGGCAAGTCATGTGTTTAGTGGCTTGAACAAGGCTTACTAAAAACTTCTCGGAAAGTGTGGATTCTGATCTGAAATAATTATATGAGATAATCCATAGTGACAGAAGATGGTATCA